ACCTGCGACGTGTGCAACCGTACCAAGACATTCCCAGCCAAGCCCCAGGGTCCACTGAAGCCGAACAAGATCCCCGAGCATCCGTGGCAGATCATCACTACCAATATGATTGTCAGATTGCCAAAGTCTGATGGATTTGACTTGATCCTGGTCACCGCCGACTGCTTTACCAAGCAGGTCCACTTCTCGGCCTATCATGAGACCCTGATGGCAGAAGGTGCGGCAGACCTGTACATCCGCGATGTGTTCAAGCATCATGGGGCCCCGGCCAAGGTCATATCAGACCGAGGATCCCAGTTCGCTTCGAAATATCTCCATGCGGTGTACAAGGGACTAGGGATCGAGCCGGCGCTGTCCACAGCGTTCCACCCCCAGACGGATGGCCAGACTGAGCGCTGGAATCAGGAGATTGAGCAATACCTGCATGCTTTCACAAGCCACAGGCAGGATGATTGGGCGAAGCAGTTGCCACTCGCGGAGTTTGCACTGAACAACCGAGTTCACTCAGCAACCGGGCACTCCCCTTTCTTCCTGCATCAGGGGTACCATCCTGAGATCCAAGTGCGGATCAATCCGATGTCCGCGATGCCCGCTGCCGCCGATCGGCTTAAAATCCTGAAGGAGATTCGCGACGATACGCGCTCTGCGCTTAAGCTGTCAGCCGAGCGCATGAAGGTGTACTATGATAAGCACGTGCAGGAGGCACCGGTCTTCGTGCCAGGGGACAAGGTCTGGCTTGATGCTCAGAACCTTAAGCTGAAACAGCCGAGTAAGAAGCTCAGTCCCAAGCGCCTCAGACCATATGCCGTGCGGCGAAAGCTCGGAGACTTGGACTACGAATTGGTTCTGCCGAAGTCAGTGCCGGTGCACCCGGTGTTCCATGTCTCCTTGCTTAGCAAGTACATGCATAGTGAAATCCTGGGTCGGGAGCCGGAGGAGCTGCCTGCCATTGAGGTTGAGGGCGATGAGGAATATGAAGTTGAGCGGATCAAAGATTCAAGGATCTTCCGGCATTAGCTACAGTACCTCGTCAAATGGAAGGGTTATGACGACTCGCATACGTCATGGGAACCGGCGTGCAATGTTGCGAATGCGCCGGCCCTCATAGCCGACTTCCACCGGAAGAACCCAAACACCCCTCACCGCCTCAATGCTTCTGTCTTTGGTGGTCTCAACTTTCAGCCAATGCCTTCGCCGCTGACTGAAGCACGCTGCCGCTCCGGTTGGGAGATGGGCAAGGGCACCTCACATGAGGTCATGCGCCGTTGAGGGGGGGGTAATGTCACGAGTTGACACGGCATCCAGCCATTTTTTAATTTTTTCCTTTCCGCGGGCTCGAACCCGCAACCTCTGTACTACATGCTCGAACGGACAAGTCCTTATCTACTGTACAATTAGATTAGATGGGCGGCAGTGCACGGCACAGCTCGGGCTCCGCTGACACAGCCTCTCTGACTCACCGGCCCCCGGGGCCGCGTCAGCATGCTGCGCACGGACCAGTGCGCACAGCCTCCCCTAAACTTCCCTTGTATATAAGCCGGCCTCTGCTGCCCTAGGGACCTCAGTTTTGACCTCTTGTCCCTAGGTCAGTAAGCCACTCATGTATTCTTTTCTTACCTAAACTAACTAATACATTTCTTGTCCCTAGCCTTAGGTTTGAGCCTAGCTCACCATCGCTTCGGTGAGACTCAGTTGAACACCCCCAGCTTTCAGGTTTTCCCCTGTTGCTCGACCTCAAGTTGCGACAATGGTGGGGCACATGGTGGTGCACCTCAATCACAAGGCACTTCGGCCAGCATCAATGTGGCCGTCAGAAAAGGAGACTTTCCTGGCAAGTGCTTCAGCTGTGGGAAAAGAGGGTACCGATGCTTTGAGTGCCCCAACTATAAGGATAAGCCTTACATGAAATATGCTGATGCGTGGGCTACAGTCGCCTTGGGTTCCACCCAGGCTGCGACAAGTGCCCCCATCATTTCACCCTCAGCAAGTACAAGTGCCACTTCAGCAAATACCGAGCTGGCAGACTTGATGGCACAGGTGAAGTCGATGTGCGAGGAGTTGGAGCACTATTGGGCGCTCAAAGAAGAGTCTTTTTGATCCGGTCTGCGCTTTGTGCTGCACGCGTCGGACCTCGTAATAATAATGTGTACAATGTATTGGCGACCGCGAATGTTTACGAGTTGGACCATGGGTCCCAGCACTTCCACATCCCGGTGCGCCTCAAAGGGAAAAGATGGCACAAAGATATAATTGCTATGGTGGACAGTGGAGCCACTACGAAGTTTATCAATAAATGATTCATTATGGAGAACAAGGTGCAAACACGGAAATTGAAAGAACTGATTCCGCTATACAATATTGACGGCACCCTCAATAAAGACGGAAGCATCTCGGAGGTGGCCATCCTCGAAATGCAGATAGGACACCATGTAGAGAAAACGGTCTTTACGGTCACGGACATCGGTCCAGAAGATGTGATCGTCGGGTTGGATTGGCTGTGCAAGCACAATCCTGAAATTGATTGGGAGACAGGTGCTCTGAAACTGTCTCGGTGCCCTGAAACGTGCAGTACCCAGAAGACTGGCTGAATGGAGCAAGCAGCGACTGTGCATGATACAGGGGTCAGGCCCATGGCGTGCAGGTGTTTGCCAAAGTCCAAATGGTTGATGATAGGCGCCTGTCAGAGCAAGGTGCTCCTGGACTTCGAACCCGAAGAAGATCCGGTAGAAGTCGAGTGGGATGAAGCTGACTTGATCGAAGCCTGGGAGCAAGGCATCACGCTTCCTGGTGCTTCTCAGCTATTCATAGCGGCGGGGCACACGTACTCCCAGCTGTTCGCTGAGGAAGAGATCAAGAAAAAGGTCATCAAAACCGCTGAGGAGTCAGTGCCAAAACAGTACCACAAGTTCCTGAAAGTCTTCTCAAAGGAAGCATCAGAACAGCTACCCGAGAAAAAGCCATATGATCATGTGATCGAACTGGTGCCCGGCTACTCAACATTCCATTCGAAGGTGTATCCCCTGTCGAACAATGAGCAAGAGGAGCTTGACAAGTTCCTAAAGGAGCAACTGGCTAAAGGGTACATACGTGAGTCGAAGTCGCCCATTTCGTCCCCCTTCTTCTTCATCAAAAAGAAGGAAGGAACACTTCGACCCGTACAGGACCACCGCTGGTTGAACACAATCACTGTAAAAAATCGCTACCCCTTACTGCTGATCGCTGAGATGGTGGATAAGCTCCATGGCGCTACGCTCTTTACAAAGTTCGATGTCCGATGGGGATACAACAACATCCGGATCAAAGCCGGTGACAAATGGAAGGCTGCTTTCATGACTAACTGGGGACTGTACAAACCCCTGGTGATGTTCTTCGGCCTCACCAATTCCCCCACGACCTTCCAGGCGATGATGAATAACATCTTCCATGATCTCATCATCGGCGGAAAGGTCCTCGTGTACCTGGATGGCATACTCATTTTCTCAACCAATAAAGAGGAGCATGAAAAGGTCACGCGCGAGGTCCTTTGCCGCCTTTGGGACAACGATCTGTTCCTGAAGCCTGAAAAGTGCGAATGGGACGTTCCCAAAGTCGACTACGTTGGCTATGTGCTTGGTGGCAATGAGGTAGCAATGGATCCTGCAAAGCTGAAAGGAATTAATGAGTGGCCAGTACCCCAGAACAAAAAAGATGTTCAGAAGTTCTGGGGGTTCTCCAATTTCTGCTGTCACTTCATTAAGGACTTCACTAAGATCTCGTGACCACTCAACTGACTCACAGGGAATGACCTGTGGTATTGGGGCGAAGAGGCGCAGCATGCCTTCGACAAGCTCAAACAGCTCTTCACCACAACTCTGGTCATAGCACTATATGACCCTAACTGGGAGACATGCATCAAAGTTGATGCTTCTGGATATGCCATGGGTGGTGTTTAGATGCAGAAGTAGGACAATGGCAAGTGGCATCCGATCGCATTCCGATCTCACGCTATGGACCCTGCCCAGCGTAACTACGAGATCTACGATAAGGAGATGCTTGCGATCATTGAGGCACTTGATGACTGGTGCCACTATCTCGAGGGATTACCCAATCAGTTCGAGATCGTCACTGATCACAAGAACCTCAAATACTGGCGCACATCACAGCACCTCACACGTTGTCAAGCGCAATGATCGCTGTTCCTGGCGTGCTTTGACTTCCGCATCACGCATAAAGCCGGAACGTCGAATGGAAAGGCTGATGCCCTGTCACGTCGATCAGACCATCAGATCGGCGATGAGGACGATAACACCGATCAGGTGGTTCTCCGACCTGAAAGGTTCCACATCGCCTCCGCCCGACGTGGTCATGCCTTGGTGACGGCCAATCAGTCGCTTCTGAAGCGCATCAGGGAGTGCTCAGAGAAGGATCGGGAGGTGGCCGAGGCACTTGAAAAGGTGCAGGACCTCGGGCCGCCCCAGCTGCAAAGAGGCTTTGAGGAGTGGAATGCTGAGCAGGGGCTTCTGTTGTTCCGCGGATGCGTATATGTCCCAAAGAACGCGGAGCTCCGGCGAGATATTGTCAAGATCCACCACGACTCGCCAATCACCGGTCATGGCGGTCGTGCCAAAACCCTCGAGCTCATATCACAGAACTACTGGTGGCCTGGAATGTCCAAGTTTGTCAACGAGTACGTAAGCACCT